CTGGATCTATTTCATCAAGGTATCCTATTCTAACTGGGTTTGGTGCTGGATCAACAGTATGAAATTCATCTTGCTCAGTATGAATTGGGTTTGGTGTAGGTCCACCAATGTTCACTTCAGCTTGATCCAGAGCAGGTCCCTGCACTGAAGCCTGGCTTGGTGCTTGACATTTAACATGAGCCCCTTTACCCTTTTAATTAAGTGACCCATTTGGTCTACCATGAAAAGTATAAAATCAGGCCAATAACATGCTATAATATTCACCATACAGTTTTACACATGAAAAACAATAAATGACAATACTAATCTTTTTTGGCTTTGGTTTTTGAACATTTTGAGACTGACTTTCATGTGTGGGTAGATCGGTTGTGGTGACATTTGAGTTATTAGGTAGAACAATCTGTTTGTTTTTCTTACATGTCCGAGTGTTGTGACCATATTCCATACATGTCTTACACCTATGATTAGTGTTAGATCTTTTCCACCTTGTTGCATTTTATTCATTAGGATCCGTTCTTATTATTTTTTTGGGTCTACTTGGGCCTCGTTTGAACATAGGAGGGAAAATGACTGGATCAGTAGTTTTGGGCCACTTGTTTAGGCCATTCAGAGGGGTGATACCTTCTTCATAACACTTGACATATGTTAATTTGTGATAGTACTCATGAACATAATTAATAGGATCATCTACTTTCCTATGGATTGCAGAAACTGCATGCCTACATGGTATGCCAATGAGATCCCAAAAGTTACATGAACATGTATGCTTGGCCAAGTCGACTACAAAACTATCAGTAAACATTACATGGGTAACTTGGAAGGTCAATTGTCCTGCATAAGTTATTGTCCAACTAGCACTCTTTTCAATCTCTCTATTCAATCTCTTAAGTGGTTTAGACATGATTTTACCCTTATACCCATTAACTTTTTCCCTTAAGGTTGCAAACCTACCCATAAGATAAGATCTAATCCATTAAAACATAGTTATGATTGGTTTGTCCCTTTAAAGTAAGATAGTTACATTAAAGGATTCACTTAATTTATTCATCAAGACATCACACTTACTATACATAGGAAAATCATGCTTACACCACTTAGATTTTGGAATTTCCTCAAACCAATCAAAAGTATCATTGTTGGCCTCTTTGATATTTTGCATATATTCGTTATGAGCCTCAACATATGTTGCCTTTGCTGCAGCCATCATGAGATCCCTAAATATAGTACCACCTTCAAACTTACTTTTAAAGTTAGAATACAAGTGTCTGACACAAAACCTATGTTCAAAGGCTGGATATTTCTCCTCAAACACTTGAACAAGACCCTGCAAAATAATGAAAACTAGTGGAAGTAAAAAAATCACTTAAACCAAATATAACAATCAAGAAATATACATGCCTTTTGTTGGTCAGAAATGAAACACCATCTTTTTTCACCAATCTCCTCAAGAAGAAGCTGCATAAACCAACTCCAAGTGTCCTTTGACTCAGTTTCTACCACTCCAAAAGCTAAGGGTAAATATTGGTCATTTGGGTCTCTTCCAAAAACTATTAACAAAATTCCATTATACTTATGTTTTAGATGACATCCATCTGGTCCAATAAAAGACCTACAAGCCAACTTCAAAGCTTTCTTTGTTCCATCAAAGCACATATAACAACTTTCAAACCTTGGTAGCAAGCCTGGTCCAGGAGTTTGTATGTTCAACTTGAAGGTATTTCCTAGGGAAGCCCTCCTCCATTCAGCCTCATATGACCATAAAAGACTGTACTGTTTGATAGAGTTTCCTTCCACTACTCTTTTGGCAATATATCTTGCCTTAAATTCCCTATATCCAGATATTTCAGTTGCATATCTTACTCTTATATCTGCAATTACATCATTCAATTTCATTTTGTTATTGTTTTTCAATCTATCAACAATTACTTTTGCAACCCGTTCAACTTTGGCACTCTTGTTAAACAACTGTCTTCCATACTTGTGTTTAGCAAATAATGTCTTGATTTTAAATGTGGTTGATGTTAACACTTTACTACACAACACAATGTAATTATATTGTCCCTTGTCCTTGCAAACAACTCTACATCTCACTGCATCATTTTTCTCAAATCTCATATCCCTCCCATTCAATACATTATGTTCCAGAATAAAAGTCTTGAACTGCCTTAATGATGAAAATTCCATACCTACCTTGAACTTAAAATCCTTGGTTAATCCATCTTCATCATTCAACCTAACAACCTTAAGCCTAGCATCACCATGTTGGCTCTTAAATTCGACACCCACGATAAATTGGCCTTATGGGCCAAATATAGAGCAAATGAAGCCAAGCTGGAAAATGCTTCGACGGATGGAAAAACTTAGAGAAATATCTGAATTACGAATTGGTCTTCGACCAGACATCGCCATCAAGCCTTCAACTGAAAAGGTCCTGTGACCTTCGACTAGAAGAACAACCCTCGTGTCAGCATCAAAGACGAAGGATATTTGAATTTGAAGAAGGGAGGGAAATGCAGTTCGCCTAGCAGTTAAGGGAAAGTGACGTGGCAGGAAGATAAAGGTCGAGGGGCATGCAGAGGACACTTGTCTTCATCCTAGAGTAAGGCAACCCCTCGACAGTTACATAATTTTAGTATAAAGATAGGAAGTTTGTGTAGATTTTCCGTGTGTTCAATCTATTGTGCTAGTCACTCAACATTATTCAAGTACCCACTGTGTGTGAAAGAATAAATGAGAATGTACATTGGAAACACCACCTTTTATTAATCAAATCTTTTACATTGCTTTGATCTTCTTTTGTAAAGTTTACGTTTCTTGCATTTTATCTGCATTTCTATTTGCTTTTCAAAACCACAAACACCAACTCCCCGGTCGAACGTGTGTTCTTCCTAGATATTAACTTTTACATCAAACCAGCACAAAAATTAGTATATATTCTGGGATGAATCTGATCAATCCCGCGAGTAACCAAAAAAGGGCTTTCCTTTTTGGAGGATCAGCGGTTGTTTACCAAAAACCACAGTAAACACACCATTATCATCTTCAACACCACTATCAAGCTCATCAGTCAAATACTCATCTTCATTGACATGTTCCTTACCCATTTCTGGTGTAATCAAACAAGGTTTCATAGCCTCACTAGAGCCTGTAAAATTTGTAGCATCTGAAGTAGGTTGATTAATAGGATGACCTCCTAAAGCCTCTTCAAAACCCTCATCAAATGGATTCATCCTTTCTTCTTCACTATCTTCAAACTTGATATCCTTCACAGACTCATTACTTGAACCCTCATCACTATTTGGTTCAGCATCACCTTAAACTATTTTACCCATTTTCCTCTTTCTTACATTCCCCATAAATGTTGTATCCCCTGTACTTGGTATGGGCTCAACATATATTTCAATATCACCTACGTCACTATAGACAAAAACAACCATCTCAATTGCATCATCATCATTCCTCAATGTTTTTAGGTCAGTTTCTAGACTTCCAACATCATATTTCCACCACATCTTAACTTTTTTGAATTCAAACTTAGGATTCATGGACTTAATTAAATCACAGGCATCAAAAAATGACCATGAACCAGAGTCTTGACCATTAAAAGCATAAACTTCCCCACCCTCGTAGATTAAAATTGGATCTTTTACAAAACAACCATTTATGTAAAATATTAACTTAAATATAGTCATTTCTAAAAAATGAAGTGAAAATGACAGTAAACATTGGACCCACAAATAACATTTGAATATTGAAAACCCTACTCAGTCAAAACACTACAAAGATAAATAAATATCCCAGACCAACATTCGGTAAAATGGAATCTAACATTAAACAACTAGACCTACCCCATATTCAATGTGAGGGACCACAAGGATGCACCTTTCAACTATTATCTGGGACCACACAATTATCGTGAGAACACACTGAGAACAAATCTGCAACCATAACAAAAATTCTCAACTCGTGACAAGTACAATGATAATTTTGAATGGACGGAAAAATATGGAACGAACATTCATCTTCTTCTAGAAAAAGACCTAGTAGTGAAAGTAGATGGATTTTAAGGTTTCCTTCACCGTAAAAACCCCCTTTGTGTTAAAATCTTTACTCCAAATGGTCTTAAATTTGTATCCAAATGCTTTTAATAGCGTGACATTCAATACTCAACATAACTACTCAATTTTTTTTTAAAATGCCAAGTCATTGTCAACGTCTGCGTCCGTTAAGTGGAATTGACGATAGAGATGAATAATAGGGACGAAAAACTTTATAAGAGCGATTCTTTGAACAAAAATATTAGAGAGACTAAAAGCAGATTTTGGTATATTTACAGGGACTAAAAATATATTTAACCCATATGAGAATGATAGGTGGTTGTTCGTATTTGTTACTGTAATGCTCTAATTCTGAGATGTATCTCTGATTTAAAAAAAAAGTATTTCGACAATACATCTCTAAAAATATTATAGAAAAAATAAAATGTGAGGCGTTCAGAAATATATCTCTGAATTCTGAAAGTAAAAATTGAATTTCAATAGAGATGGTTAAGAAGTTGAATGGGTGGAAAAGAGTAATGTTATTATTTGCTTTTGGCTTGTTCAAAAAAAAACTACTACTCTTGCGGGTCAGTGCTAAAGCCGACTACTATGCTTTCAACATATTCGTAACGTAGACATTCAAATCACCACTCATGTCACTATCTTCTTGCCATTTCCAATAGCCAATTAATCACACGAGTTGGAGTTGCAGACTGAAACCTGCTTCTAGCTTTCTACTGCTTTCCTAAAGTCCAAGATTCTCAACTTTTCATTTCTACTACATTCTTAACAATGACAACAAACAATTTTCTTTTTCTTCTTCCTAATTTATAACAGTTCAAATTAACCATATCCAATAAATCAGAAAATTAAATAATAGTATCTTAACCCCTATACTTTATAATCATAATCATACAAATTACATAACATAACAAATAACTTGTATATTGACAAATTACATCACAAAAACCTTCCAGAGGGAAACCGAATGAAATCACGAGAACTAACAACTCGATCAGAAAACCGTTCCGACTCACTAAACCTTAATCTTCTTTCTTCTTTCCGCACCTTACCCTTTTCCTTATACACCTCCATTCCAACTTTCTCCTTCAAATCTCTCACCAAATCCCAAAACCCTTGTTGCAACTCCAAAATCATCACCACCCTCTCTCTACACTCTTCCAATCTCTTCAAACAACAAACCAATTCAACAGCTTCTCCAAATTCCAAACACCCTAACCTCTCCTTAAACTCTCTCACTTCAACAATCACCACAGTTTCTATCACCACCCAATCTCCACCCACCAAATTCACTATCTCATCAACCAACTTGTTTGTGTTCCTTCTCTTGTTTTCGTTGGAATCCGAAGCACGATCTGGTCTCTTGCAAATTCCCTCCACCAGAGTTACCAAAGAGTCAAACTCCTTCAACAAATCACCGTTAGTAATACCCGAAACTCTCTCTTCACCGTCCGATAAACAGTTTCTAAGAAAGAAGAATCCTAAAATTCGTGAAGTACATAAAAGATTCTCTATGTGTTGAGCAAACCATCGAACCCAGGAAGAAAGTTCCCATGATGTCGGATTTGTGTTCCGTCGGAAATTCGAGAGGTTAAGGTAGTTTCGCCCACCGGTGTAAGGGTAAACAGAAAGTTGATCTTGGAGGATGAAGCTTCCCTGGCTGATGATATGATGAACAACGATGAGAGATTTGAGTGCTACAGCAGCGTCGTTTGTGTTCTGAAGACGGTCCATGAGAAGTTCGATAAAATCCGATGCGGTGGCGCGTGATCTGTCCGTGGAAGAGAGGAGCGTGGATACATGTTTGTGAGTTGGAGGGCAGAAGGAGTTGTGAGATGTGACGCGTAAGAGAGAGAGAGTGGTTGGTTTTGAGAGTAACGCAGCTTTGCTTTGAGAAGCTTTGTCTTTGATTATGCCTATTAACGTTGTAACTGTGAGTTTCGTCATTTTTGTTCTTGTTTGTTTCTGTGTTTTTTTTTTTTTTGGTTCGAAGAGACACAAGAACGATAGTGTTATTCTAAAGAGACATTGCGAATGCGTACAATTATTAATTAATGTCATCAATAAGATGTTTATTTCAGTGTATTGTACAGCTCATTTTCAATAGTCACATCAGCTACTATAATACTAGTATATGATCAAGTCTAAGTATAGTCATATTCATTTGATTTTTTTCTTTAATGTTAAGTTTGGATTAGTGAAAAGATTAAATGTAGTAAAAGAAAAGAATGTTAAAAAATGAAAATGTATAGGAAGGTAGAGAGAATTGTAAAATGATTTTTTAGGTTGTTTGTAGTAACTTTGTAAGGAAAGAAAGTGGATAAAAATGAGTGGAAAGAAACATATATGTTAATTCGAAATGGCAAAAATAATATTTTTAAAAATTTTGAATAAAAACACTAAGTAATTTATTTTATTATTTTTAAGCAATATTTATTTTATTACTTTATATAAATACACATTATGCAAATAAAATTAATTACTTTTATAATTATGTTTTAAAAGTGTACTCATAAAAGTATGAGAATGAAGGCTTCAATAACGTTAACATACTATTATATATAATAGTTAAATAGGTATAATGAGGGGTTGAATAAATGATGAAATTGAGATGAATTAAAATATGTTGAAAACATTTAACATGTTAAATGAAGATGAACTGATGTCACATATAATATTTTGTAAAATCTTGTTGGTTGTTGTGATTGTTTAGATTTTTAATTCACTTTAATTATTTTGAATTAATTATTTTATAATAAATTAATTTTTTATTTATTTTTATTTTCACTAAAATTTATCTTCTTTTTTTTTCGTGTCTATAAATAAAGATTTGGTTCATTTGATTTGGACACAAAATAAATTCACTTCTCTCTCTCTATTTTTTTATTTAACCTCAAATAAGCTCTTGTTTTATTTACTTTTATTTGTTTTAATAATAACTATCCCTATAAAATTAGAAAAAAATTTAAATAAATTAAGAAAATAATTTAAATAAATTATTAAATTAGAAAATTTTAAAATAAATTATTTAACTCTTAATTGATTTAATTTAATTTTAACCGATAATTAATATTAATATAAAATTATAGAAACAAACATATAAAAGAAAATAAAAATATAAAATAAAAGTGGTGAAGTAGGGTGTTGAATTTTATTAAGCAAAACTATTATAGTGAGTAAAAATTGAATGATGTTAAATTATTAGATGGAAGAAAAAGGAGATAATGTAGAATATAAAAAGTGAAAAATGAGGGTATTGAATATGTAAACTATTATACATAGTTTAAAAGTGATTAAAGTCACCTTAAGTATGAATCAGTAAAGTTGAAAGTTGAAACTCCATATAAAATTAGAAAAAATTCAAATAAATTATTAAATTATAAAATATTCAAATAAATTATTTAACTCTTAATTATTTTAATTTCATTTCAATAGATAATTGATATTAATATAAAATCATAAAAACAAACATATAAAAGAAAATAAAAATATGAAATAAAAGTGGTGGAGTAAGGTGTTGAATTTTATTAAACAAAATCATTGTAGTGAGTAAAAATTGAATGATGTTGAATTATTAGATGGAAGAAAAAGAAGATGATGTGGAGTATAAAAAGTAAAAAATGAGGGTGTTGAATATGTAAACCATTGTACATAGTTTAAAAGTAATTAAAATCACCTTAAGTATGGATCAGTAAAGTTGAAAGTTGAAACTCTGGCCCAAAAGTATACCAATGTAAGCTTACTAGTAATGATTAAGAAAGTCTTTGTCGTATTTTAAGTAATTTGCCTATGGATTGTTTGTCTTTCTTCTTTAATGATCAATGATGATATATAAGAGAAAATAATGACCTTAATTGTTGTTCTTGATCTAACTCTTTCTATGGTCAATCTCAATAACTAGTAGTTGATATCCCCATGTTTTTGAGATTCAACTTTTATTGCGTCATTCGCTATACCTTTTTAACTATATTTTTATTTACTATAGTCTGATGGCTGATTTAAAAGTCGATATGTCCTTTAATGTAATGATAAATTATGACTTGGGAACTAATGTGTAAGCCTAGGCTTTTTAGCTTCTCAGGCTTCCTAAAGTTATAACTATTGATGATGCTTATTTTCAATCATCCACTTTGCATCTTTCCTAGTGAGTGATAGTTCGGATAACACTTAATAAGTGATAGTTATAGCGGTAAAATCAATGAAGTCGCCATCAAGTATTTATTTATCTCACGTAAAGGGGAAAAAAATCTTTGAAGAAAAACCTGAAGGGAGAAATCAAGATCTTGCGATCGAGAGATCGGGTACAAAAGTCGATTACGCAGGGAAAAATATTAGCACCCCTCGCGTCCGATATACTCTATGGGATTCACTCTTGTTGTTCTAATCAAAGGGTGTGTTTAAATCTAAAGCTTACAAGCTAGAAGCAAAATACAAAGAGGGAATGCATGCAAAAGAAAACACGGGAAAAAGAATGGAGTATTTACAAAGTTTCGCTCGGCTGAGCCCCGTGACCAGATGCCTACGTAGCCCCTTTTAGGAATTAGAACGCCGTAGTTTGGCTCACAAATTTCTGTTTGTTTGTATTTTTTTAAATGAACAATGTAAAATTCAATCATTCCACCGTCGCTCGACCATTGGAGACACGCACTGTAGTGGAAAGAAATAAACATGTTCTTAAAAGAGAATAGCCGAATGGCGAAAATAAATGAATTAATTGGTGTTTTTTACCGTGAAAAGGATTTTTGTATGGTTAGCATGTTTTACACATTTGCCAAGAAAAAAAGTTTTAGTTTTAAATGTAATTATGCAAAATGGGAAGAAAACACCTAAGGGAGACTATCTAGAGTCTAATCCATAATGTTATTGTACAATGATGGACCTATGTCAAGGATGAAAGGGGAAATCTCTACCCTATGTTAGCATGCATGAATAACTATCCTAATGTCTAACTCGAAAGATACGCTAATCGAGCGATCCTAAGGGAACATGCAAAGATCAAAGTCATTTTCTCAATTCTAATTAAGTGAAATCATCGATCGTCAATAAAAGAAAGTGAAAATTCTAAGGGGAGCATGCAAAGATCGAAGTCGTTATCTCAATTCTAATTGAGTGACATCATCGATTATCAACAAAGGAAAATAAAAATCCTAAGGGGAGCATGTAAAGATTGAAGTTGTTATCTCAATTCTAATTGAGTGACATCATTGATCGTTAACCATGAAAACAGACACAACTACAATTAACAAACAAGTGCAGAATGCCTGCTATAGGTCTTTAAACAACGACTTCGAGCATCCACTCTTTATTCCCTACTTCTCATGATATCTAGAAAGCAATAAAATAAAGAAATATAAATTGGAAGCAGTATAATACTAAACGAACAATAATGTCCGCAAAAAGCGCAATCAAAGCGAAGAAACCCGTAATACTTCGTGCGAGCTAACATCAACAAACAAACAAATAGTCAGAGATCGAATACTCGGAATAAATATCGAGACATCATCGATATGAAAATAAATCACAATTGAAAACTTAAACATATCCGCATATCACATAATAAACTTGCATAAGATTCATATCTCAACAAGCAAAGGTGAATCGCGAGTCTCGAGTAATCGGATAATCATGAATCAATTCCTAAAAATCAAATAAAAAAAATCTAACAAATTTTCTATTGATTTTTAATTTTTTATTATCTCCTAAAACTCACAAATTATATTTAGCAAAAATTGATAAAAGAGAATTATAGAAAAAAATCTAAAAATTATGAGCACGGGTGGAAAACCAATATTTGGGGAGTGTGAATCAAAACAAGGTGCTAGGCCCATCTAGATTGAACCCAAGGGGTTTTTTGTCATGTTAACAATCAAATTGTCAAAAAAAAATGTATGGACTTAATCCGGCACAATTTGATCCATTAACAACACAAACCAACTTATTATTCAGCATAATTCTTTATTCTAATAAAGAATAAAAGGAAAATAATGAGAAAAGGTTAAACGATGTAGTTTTAGTTAGAAGCTAAGGTTACAATGTTTGTGATTGTCAAAATTCCAGAGCAAAACACGATAAACTCTTCATCTCCTTTGCACGGTCTCCGCGAACTCAACCGCCGCCGTCGTTTCGCCTTTCGTCTCACATTGTTCCGTCTCCGTGATGATCCGTCGACATCTCACTCGCGGTGGCCTCAGCTCTCATCGTCACTTGAACGCCTCCGTCTCGATCTATCTTCTGATTCCGCCTCAAACTTTTTACTTCTAACAAAAACTTCGAAACTCTAAGCCTCGGAGATGAAATTGAATGCCATGGTTGAAACCTCAGAGTGTGATTCTTTAGGATTCTTGGTCATTGGTACGAAAAAAGTAATCAAAACGATGAAAGAGCGAAGGAATTCGACCTACCTATCAGAGTCGCTCCGACGGTGTTTCAACGGCGATGTCGCAAGAAAAACCAGAGGTCATCGTCTCTTTTGGTATGGATATCTCTCTACTTTTGCTTTCTTCTTCTTCTTAATACTTTATGCGTTCTCTGAAATTTTGTTTTTGGTCCTTGAATGCTAGATCGTTTAGCCCTGCAGGTTTCAAGTGGTAGGACTTTGTTCTTATTTGTTCTTATCTGTTATTACCTATTTGAGGCATAACCCGTTCAGTAGCTCTCTTGAGCTTGCTTTTGTCATGAACACCAACATCATCAATTAGAGGATTCCGAGGACGAGGAACCTCATGCCCTGATTTTACATTTGTTCTTTCTTTTCCATGCTAATTGTTGATGGCCGCTGAACATATTTTCCTTGTCTATTATGTTAACCAGAGGTCTAGCATAGCCTTCAAGACTAGCGATAAACAACACCAGGTCAGCAAATTCACCAAGTTTTGATAAGAATTCCTTCAACCTAGGGCTTTCAAAGACTGTAGTGAAGCTGGCAAACTAGATGTATCCTATGCACATACTAATGTTTCATCCAAGTCAAGAACTACCGTGAGCTTTTAGGTGGAGCTTAGGATGGAACTTAGGCTTTAGAACCAAACTTATGTAATTTTTCTATGTAGTGTAGTGATATCTTGTAATGAATCTTGTGTAAAAGCTTTGATTGTGGGATTTTGAATGAATCTTGTAATGAAGCAAACACTAGCATTTGGTCTCAACTTGAAGTTTGAATGAATATTTAAAATTTGAAATGAATCATGTCTTGAGTGAAATCAACTTGTTTGAACCATGATGCCATTTGATTAATTTTCACACATTAAGAACTTGAATGAATCTGGAGACCTTTAAGTCAATCTTGTATGAACCTTGAAATAATTGAATCTCTGAATGAAGTTTGAATAGTAGATGACTAAAATGCATTCTTGAACTTGAATAATGGATGATGAACATGACTTTGAAATGGATGAATATATGTTCTTGATAATTGAGTTTGAACCCATTTGAACTTGTAATCAAGTAAGCCATATGATACTTTGCACATTAAGACTTTGAATGAAAACCTTTCAAATCAAAACTTGCCTTATAAGCAAAAGGAAGAGCAGAAAAAGCCTTGTAAGTTTGAATTAAATGCAGTTGAACTTCTCTTGAACGAAGGACTTTGCTTGCAAAACCATGAGGCATGCCTTGATCACAATGAATTCTCAAATACACCTTTTGTGTCATGCTCGACCAATGAATCTCATCTTCATTTGAATCTCGAATTCAAGAAGCAAAGAAAATCATATTTGAAAGGTTGATAATATCTTAACCCATAGCTTGAGCACCATGAAACGCTTTAACTTGATAAAATCCCAAAGCAAAACTTTAAGCACTTGACCAGTATCAGAACAGAAAAAAAAGACCCTGATTTAATCTTCTAAGCCTCTCGAGAAGGGCTGACTTGTGGTGTGAGAAATTAAGAGGAACCCTAAATGATGATGATGCAATCACAATAAGGAACAAATGATGATCCTTGTAGCCTCAAGGAGAAAAACCTAGCACGATGAACTTCTAATAAAGATCTAACACCAAGATCCAAACAAGATAGGAGAAACCCTAAATGATCTTGCTTTGAATGCACATTAATGAAGAAGGCTTGAGATAGTGAAATGAATAAAACCCTGGCTTCAGAACATTCTCAATGAAGACATGATGAAATCTTGAGCACACGGTAAAAACCTAAAACACTTGTTTCTTGAAGAAATTCTTATGAATACAACCTTATATCTTGAGGAACCCTGCCAGTGAAGATGTCTATGATGCTCGTGATCCAAAACTCTAGTTTCATACCAAGAATGATGAGAGCACCAGTTGAATCAACTTTGAGTAAAGTAGCAATCTCAATTCATAGAGAAAAACCCTAATGCCAAGAGCCCTTTGATCCCGTAACCATGGAATCGACAATATACATGAGATGTATATGATATGATGAGGGATCTTAGGGGTAAATTTGGGGTATAACAGCTGCCCTTATTTAAGTGTCTTCTATTCGAAGATACGAAGGTTAAAATCTTCGTCTCGACGCGATTAAAGATACTTAAATATAAAACAAACCCTATTTTTGGTCCTAAGATGCCATGTGATGTTTATGATTATGAACGTAAAAGATAAACTTTACATAGGTGAACAAGACGCCACTAGAAAGCAAAAATAAAAACCAACAGACTAAAAGAGTTCGACCAGGAAAATAAATCTTTGGGGAACAACACGACTCTGTGGATAGAAATTTGAATCCATTGGAGACAAATCAACTCCGCTGGGGAAAAGAAGACACAACTTTACCGGGGTAAAGCCTAAAGAGGAGACAAAGTATCATAAACTCAACAAATAAGGAGAAAGCAGTAGATAACAATGATCGCCAGATAATAATGCGCCTAAGAGGGGGGGGGGGGGGTGAATTAGGTGATGATCAATTTTTGCCTTCTTTTTAAAGTTCTTATTTTTATGATTATGGCGAGGAAAACAATAAAGTGCGGAAAGTAAATGAACACATGATGTATACTGGTTCCCCTCACAGATCGAGAGTACTCCAATCCTCTTGCCAACACGAAAGAGATTTCACTATAGTTTAGAATAATTCCACAAGTCTAATCCTACCAAAGGTGATGCCTTACTATTTAATCTATAGGGAGATCAAAGGCTCTTAAAAACTTTAAGATCTTCAACACTAAGTGGAAGAAGAACAATCCTCTTCAATGCACACACTTGCTCCAAGAATCCTAGAATGCATGGTTAATCTTATACAAAATCTATTTTTTTATAAAGTATGATCAATTCTTGAATAACACAATGGTTATCAAAATACTAAGATAAGATTTTAATAGGAAGTTTATAGTCAGATCTAGTGCTCAATATATGCTGAAACAATGATGAGTATGAAAGTTCTAAACAATGTTTCATGCAATATGTAAACTCTCAAAGTTTTACAACACTTACAAAATTTTGAAATTTTGAATGATATGTCTTATGTTATGGTCTGCGTGCAAACGAAATTTATATATGAAATGCACACTTTCATTACACCATAAATGAGTAAAAATATGCAATGGTTGGAACCCAAGAGCTATCTTCCAACAACCATGTAAAACATAAATTTTTTGAATTTTTCTTCAGCCGTAACCGGTTACCGTAGAGCTGTAACCGGTTACACATATATGATAACGTATATATTTTCAGATATGCATGCCTGTAACCGGTTATCCAAAAGATGTAACCGGTTACCACTGAACCAAAATTTTTATTTTTATTTCGTGATGTCCTGTAACCGGTTACTGTAACCGGTTACCACTGAGTGAAAGTGATAAAAACATATTTTCTAAGTGATGGACATGCAATATTTTACTCTTAAATGATCATGACACTTACGTAAAATTTTTAGAGTATATTTTGAGTACTATATCATCTTAAAAACCTCAAATTAAAACTTGTACCTAACTTGTTGATGAATCTTTATAATTCTTCATCTTGAAAGTTGATTGTACACATGTACAAGAATTCAAAGAGTGATCTTGAAATATTATATGATCTTGAATATCTTATTTTCCATATCCTTGATATTTCTTTGACTTTATGTATGGTGGTCTTCATCAAAACACTTTGATTGGAGTGCATGCAATCACATCCTCCCCCCTTTTTGATGTAGATAACCAATTTGACACTTGTAGTTTATTCATTAAGGTCTTTGAGTGTAGCTTGTATGTGTACCATAATGATGTGCATTCTCCCCCTAAGTTGGATATTTCCCCCTGAATTTATGTAGCCTTTGAAGACTTGTATTTCAAAGAGGAAGTTTTAAAATCTGGAAAAATTATGCATCACTAAACACAAGCAGACAATGTCTTTTCCCCCTTTGTCAATATAAAAAAGGATGGGGAAAAGACCATAATAAAACAATATATAAAAAACAAGTAAAAGATAACACAAGTTTATAACAAAACACAAAGTTAACGGATAGTAAGAAACATATTGGACACGAGGTCTTTGAAGACATAAACGATGCGGAAGGAAATACGATACAAAATGCAACAAGATAAAAAATTACATAGGAAGAACATAAACAACAAACAAAGGTACTAAGGCATTTACAGTTCTTCATCATCACTCTCAACCATAAAGTCCTCTTGAATTGGTGTTTGGAGGACTGTCAATTCTTGACGGATGTCTCGAAATTCCAAAATCACGAAATTTTCCATTGAGCAGAGCTTGTGATAAATCATCTCATTTGATATTTCACCATCATATGTGGGTGGTGGAGGATGTGAATCTTGATTGGAGGAAGTTCCTTTTTCTCTATGCTTGAACAATCCATCTTCATCTTTGAAAGTGCCCATATTTTTGTTTGCCGCCGCAATCGAAATTTCACAATCTCTTGAAGTCATTTTTGTTTTGGTTTCTCCTCGGAAGCTAACTTTTCAAAACTTGAGAAGCTTGGTTATCCAATGAGCATATGGAAGTCCACCGGACAGATTTTTGAGATGGTCCATATAGTTCATGATTGAGTGTGCCCAATTTATTTGAAGATTATTTTTGATTGCAAACAAGCCTTGCATCTCAACATCACTTATTTGAGAGAGATTTGAGTTCTTAGGGAGTAAAATGTAAGCAATAAAGTAATGTAGCATACAATCATTTACAGTGAGGTTGAAGGCATACAAAGTTAACCGACTTTTTATAGAACCAACTTCCTTTTTCTTGTCCAAGATTTCTTTTTCGGAGAGACGAATGATGCTATAGTAGTAGCGAGTACGGTTGTAAGCATCAACATCAATAATATACCCATGCTTGATGTGTAAGCCTTCACTATGATCACCCAAGC